TCAATTTCGGAGGGGTTACTAAGGTTACTAAGGGGCTAGCCCCGCATCCGCACCCGGGCGGGAGGTGGGGGGAATAGGGCCCCACCCCTCTCGCCCCACCCCTCCCGCCCCGGGAAGGTGAGGAGGAAGTGGGCCAAGGGGGCGCGGTCGGCCGCTGACTCACAGCCGCAGGGTCGGGGGTGGGGTGGGGGTGGAAGTGGGGACCGGCGGGGAGTGCCGGAGTGGGGGGCCTGGCATTCGCCCTGGGTGGGCAGGAGACGCCTGGTTCTTCGGTGTGTAAAACCCCCGACCCACGCACGCCGCGCTCTGACTCAGTTTGTCCTGCGGTGGACAGCAGGATCATCCCACCCGTCAGGAGGACCCGGAGGTGAGCAGACCCTCCCGGGAGCCCCCGCCCCCACACGCCGGCTCCCGGCCGAGCCCAGACACCCTCCGAGGCTTCCGCAGCGGGTCTGGCCGGCCCCGCCCCGAGTGACGTCACTGGCGTGGTCGCGCCCCTTGGGTAGAGCGCCACCTGGCCCGGGTGGGGCGCCCGAGCCCTGGGAAACCAGTTAGTTCCACGTTTGCACATGGGTAAACTGAGGCCTGGGAACAGGAAACGAATCTGGTCTATGGCCCTCTTGCCTGAGCTGCCAGAACACGGAAAGCCGCCTAGGTCTGAGTGTAAAACTAACAATTCTCAGGGCCAGCTGAGTAGGTGAGAGAATCCACCTTTCCAGCCTCTGTCCAGATATTGCCCTGACCTCCTTCACCTGGGCAGGCTTCGTCCTTCCAGGCCAAGCCCTGACTTAAATTCCCCTCCCCCGGGAGATCTTGAACCCTGATCCCCGAAGGTTACCATTGTTTCTCAGTGAGTCTCGTCAGGCTGAGTTGTCTAGGTGAAGGGGTAGACTGAGTTTTTTGTTTTTTTTTTTGACGCGTAGTCTCCCTCTGTCACCCAGGCTGGAGTGCAGTGGCGCGATCTTGGCTCACTGCAACCTCCCCCTCGTAGGTTCAAGCGATTCTCCTGCCTCAGCCTCCTGACTAGCTAGAATTACAGGCAAGATGGGGTGTCACCATGTTGGCCAAGCTGGTCTCAAACTTATAACCCCAGGTGGTCTGCCTGCCTCAGTCTCCCAAAGTGCTAGGATTACAAGCGTGAGCCCTGAACCCAGTTGACTTAATCAAGTGCTGGACTTCACTCACCCCAGCCAAGCCCTGAACAGCAGCTCAACAAACTTTTATTCATTTGAATGAGAACCCCAGTTCTGTGTGACCTTGGGTGACTGCTTTCTCCTCTCTGGGTCTCAGATTTCCCATCTGTGAAATAGGAGGGGTGGCACTTCTGGGCGCCACCTACAATACAGCAACAGGCAGCAAACGTGGTGTTTTGCTTGTTTGCTTGAGACAGGATCTCTTTGTTGCCTGGGCCGAACACAGTGGCGTAACCAGGGCTCATGCGATCCTCCAACCTCAGCCCACTGAGTAGCTGGGACCATAGGTGCCCACCGCTATGCCCCGCTAATTATTGTAGAGGCAGGGTTTCACTATGTTACCCAGGCTGGTCTCAAATTCCTGGGCTAAAGTGATCCGTCTGGCTTGGCTTCCCAAAGTGCTGGGATTGGAGGTGTGAGTCACCACGCCCAGCCAAGAAACGTTTTCTGTAAAAGCCTAAATAGAAAATCTTTTAGATATGCTAGACAATAGGGTCTGGTTTACACACGCTTGTTTTTGTTTTGTTTTTCTTACAATCCTTTAAAAATGTAAAAAGCTTCTTAAGTGCTGAATGAAACAGGTAGTAAGACCCCTGCGCTAGAGAACTCTTGCATATGTACATAAGGATCTTTATGGCAGCAGTAATGTGAGAGCAAGAAATTGGAAATAGCTTGGATGTCCATCAAGAGGACAGGGGAGGCCAGGCACGGTGGCTCATGCCTGTAATCCCAGCACTTTGGGAGGCCGAGGAGGGTGGATCATTTGAGGTCAGGAGTTCGAGACTAGCCTGGTTTGAACATGGTGAGGCCCTCTTTCTACTAAAAAAAAATTAAAAATTGGCCAGGCACAGTGTCGTATGCCTGTAATCCCAGCAGTTTGGGAAGCTGAGGCGGGCAGATCACTTGAGGTCAGGAGTTCGAGACCAGGCTGGCCAATATGACGAAACACCATCTCTACTAAAAACATAAAAAATTAGCCAGGAATGGTGGTGGGTACCTGTAATCTCACCTACTCGGGAGGCTGAGGCAAGAGAATCGCTTGAACCCGGGGGGCAGAAGTTGCAGTGAGCTGAGATCATGTCACTTGACTCCAGCCTGGGCAAAAGAGCAAAACTCCATCTCAAAAACAAAAAAAACCAGGTGTGGTGGCACACGCCTGTAATCTCAGCTACAAAGGGGGCTGAGGTGGGAGGATCACTTGAACTCAGGAGGCAAAGGTTGCAGTGAGTCAAGATTGAGACATTGCACTCCAGCCTGGGTGACAGAGCAAGACTCTGTCTCAAAAAAAATAAAAAAGAAAGAAAGAAAGAAAGATGAAGATGGGGATAGTGAAACCCTTGGACATCCCTTTTCTGAAGCGCCGAGTGAGCAGCAACTACAGAGAAGGAAGTATGGACTGGGTGAGGTGGGTCGAGCCTGTAATCCCAGTGCTTTGGTTTTTTGAGAAGCCAAGGCAGGAGGATCACTTGAGGTCAGGAGTTTGAGACCAGCCTGGACAACATAGGGAGATCCTCATCTCTTAAAAAAAAAATTGACTGGGTATGGTATCATCCATCTGTGGTCCCAGGGGAGGATGAGGTAGGAAGACTTCTTGAGCCCAGGAGTTTGAGGCTGCAGTGAACTGTGATTGTGACATTGTACTCCAGCTTGGGATGGAGACCTAGACCTTGTCTCTTAAAAAACAGGTGGCACTGGCCAGGCGCAGTGGGTCACACCTGTAATCCCAGCACTTTGGGAGGCTGAGGCAGGCGAATCACTTGAACCCAGGAGGCGGAGGTTGTAGTGAGCCAAGAGTGTGCCATTGCACTCCAGCCTGGGCAACAAGAGCAAAACTGCATCTGAAAAAAAAAAAAAAAAAGCAGGTGGCATGAAGTGTGTAAATGACATGGATGACAGAATGACTTTTTATCCATTAAGTGGGTAAAAAGTTGCAAAATATGGCCGGGCGAGGTGGCTCATGCCTGTAATCCCAGCACTTTGGGAGGCCAAGGCGGGTGGATCACGAGGTCAAGAGATCAAGACCAGCCTGGCCAAGATGGTGAAACCCCGTCTCTGTTAAAAATACAAAAAAAATTAGCTGGCATGGTGGTGCCCGCCTGTAGTCCCAGCTACTCAGGAGGCTGAGGCAGGAGAATTGCTTGAACCCAGAAGGCAGAGGGTGCGGTGAGCCGAGATCGCGCCATTGCACTCCAGCCTGGGTAACAACAGCGAGACTCCGCCTCAAAAATAAATAAATAAATAAATAAATAAAAATAAAAATACAAAGGTTGCAGTGAACCAAGATCAAGCCACTGCACTCTAGCTTGGGCGACAGAGTGAGACTCCGCACCCCCCCCCAAAAAAGTTGCAAAAGATACAAAGGGAATGAAAAATATCAAGGAAACACCCAAAAATATCATATATTAACAGGTGTAAGAAGTCCACTTTAAACTCATTGCAAAGATTACCAGTCAGATAGAGTGTGGGATTCTAGGGAATTTGGTGGTCACAGAGTTTTTTTTTGTTTTTTTTTTTGTAAAGATGGAGTTTTGCCATGTTGCCCAGGCTGGTCTCCAATTCCTGGAATCAAGCTGCCTTGACCTCCCAAAGTGCTTGGATTACAGGCATGAGCCACCACACCAAGCTAAAGGTCTCAAGTCTGTCTTGAAAATGCCAAATTTGACCAGACACCATGGCTCATGCCTGTAATCCCAGCACTTTGGGAGGTCAAGGCAGGCGGATAACCTGAGGTCAGGAGTTCAAGACCAACCTGACCAACACGGTCAAACTCCATCTCTAGTAAATACAAAAGAATTAGCCAGATGTGGTGGCACGTTCCTGTAATCCCAGCTACTTGGGAGGCTGAGGCAGAAGAATCGTTTGAACCCGGGAGGCAGGGGTTGCAGTGAGCCGAGATTGCACCATTGCACTCCAGCCTGGGCAACAAGAGTGAAAACTCTGTCTCAAAAAAAAAGCCAAATTGTATCCTGCTTCTAAACCTTCACACTGGCTATTCCCTCTCCCTTAGAACACCCATTGGAATATTTGCAGAGCTGACTCTTCTCTGTCAGGTCTCTGGTCAGTTGTCCCCTCCTCAGAGACCTTCCCTGATCCCCCGTTTCAAAAGCCATCTCCCCCACCCTGGAAAACTGAGTGGCTGAAGTGCGAGGGGGATGGAGAAAAACTTCATTGTATGCCATCTTGCACTCTTTGCATTTCAAACCAAGTGAATTTATTACCCATTCAAAACTATGTGAATTGAACAAATTAAAAATTTTTTAAAAAAACAAGCAAAGTAGTGATTTTCTCACCACATCCTCCTGTTTTAGTTTCTTCCTGACGCTCATCAGTCTCCAAGATGACTTTTTAATTTTTTTATTACTAATTACAGATTGGGTCTTGCTATGTTGCCCAGGCTGGTCTCAAACTCTTGGGCTCAAGGGATCCTCCCACTTCATCCTCCCCAAGTGCTGAGATTACAAGTGTGAGCCACTGTGCCTGGCGAGACGACTTTATTTATTTATTTATTTAAAGATGGGGTTTCACCATGATAGCCAGGTTGGTCTTGAACTCCTGACCTCAGGTGATCCACCCACCTTGGCCTCCCAAAGTGCTGGGATTACAGGTGTGAGCCACTGCGCCCGGCGACAACTTTATTTATTGATTCCCTTGTTTGCTGTGTCTCTTGACCAGGAGGTCAGCCCCAGTGGGGCAAGGATCTCCTGGTGGGTCAGCCTGATTCATGGCTGTGAGGCTGAGGCCTGGCACACAGCAGGTGCCAAATAACGTATTTGCTAACAGACTAGGCAAGTCACGTTTGTTTGTTTGTTTACAAGAAAATGTATTTGGAATCACTTATGTAAATACAATTTAATAATCAAAACTCTACTTCCCCTCAAAAACAGATGAATAATAAGAAGGAAAGAGGTTATTGGACTAGGAGATCTCTCAGAATCTGTTCAGCTCTGAATATTTCAAAAACATTTGGTTGGGGAATTTTTTGTTGCTTTTTATTTTCTTTTTCGTTTGGGGCTTTTTCTTTTTAGTCTGGGTGATGGTGGAATTTCCCCTCTCGTAAGACTTATCTGTGAGAGGGAAGTAAGAGAAGGAGAAATAAGCATGTTGGGTTCCTACACTGGCCTGCCTTCCTTCCGCCGGCACATGTGGCTGTGGAAGGGGTCCGTTTTCTTCTTTCGTTCTGTTGAGGCCCCAGTGGAGCAAAGGATCCCTAAAGGACAACAGCTGTCAGGCCTCCATGTCCAAGGCAGAGCCCAAATCCGTGGCGGTGGGCTTCCCAGCCCCATCCTGCCCCTTCTGTAACACATAATGTGGGAGAAGGTCATTGGAAATTCTGTCTTCCCTTTCCTTTGAGGGACCACCCTACCCATCTCACAATCCATTACGGTTTGAGTGGAGTGGACCCCAACCCCCAACCTGGCCAATCAGAGACACAGTGACTGATCAGGCATGTGACCTGGTGTGGCCAATGAGAACCAGCTCCGAAGGACCACTCCTGCAACTCCCAGGAAATTGGCAGACTCTCTCCACTCGGGAGGTTAGGTTGCTGGGCGATGAGCCTGGAGCTGCATGTCTCAGCTACCTCAAGAGAAGACCCTGAAAGAGGATGAATCCAACTCGAAGAAAATAAAAAGAAGAGCCCATGCATGATGACGCAGTCTGTCAGCTGGATGCAGCCATGCCTTCAGGCTCTGAATACTTCAGTTACATGGCCCAGTAAATTCCCTGTTTTGCTTTACCAGCTTGAATTGGGTTTCTGTGGCCATTGCTCACAACTCAAAAGAAAACTGACAAATACCTCCTTCAGCTGCTGAGAAATTATCAGCAATCCTCCCTCATCCACATGATAATAATCAAACTCCCTTTTCTGCCATGCAAAGGCCTTGGGGCTCAGCCAGGCCTAGTGGCTTACGCCTGTAATCCCAGCACTTTGGGAGGCCGAGGCTGGTGAATCACCTGAGGTCAGGAGTTTGAGACCAGCCTGGCCAACATGGTGAAACCTAGTCTCTTCTAAAAATACAAAATTAGCCAGGCGTGGTGGCACGTGCCTGTAATTCCAGCTACTTAGGCGGCTGAGGCAAGAGAATCGCATGAACCTGGGAGGCGGAGGTTGCAGATTGCGCCATTGGACTCCAGCCTGGGCAACAGGAGCAAAACTCCATCTCAAAAAAATAAAAAAGGCCTTGGGGCTCTAAACCCAGCTTCCTCACATTTCTTCCTTGATCCCACTCCATGCCGTTTTCCACCACCACCTCTTTGGATATCTCCAAAATCTCCTTAGCTATCTGGGCCCCATTCCAGCTTCTCTCATCTAAGACCTGGACCATACTCATATATGTCCTGATGGTATCTGCTGTGCATCCGGGCGTTAGAATTAGTCATTAGCATTCCCTGAATGTTTCTACCTTATTCTTGGATGTGGGAGGCCCTCAGGATGATGTGGCAATGTGGGCATTGCAGGGCCCACATTTCTTGGAGGGGAATCACAGTATCTTCTCTGCATCTGTGTCTCCCTCATCATGCCTTGCACAATGCTTCAGGGCCAGGAGTTGGAATGTATTAATATAGCAAACTGGCTGGGTTGCCGTGTAATCTCAGCACTTTGCGAGGCCAAGGCAGGAGGATCCCTTGAGCCCAGGAGTTTGAGACCAGCCTGGGCAACATTGCAAGACCCTGTCTCAAAAAAAAAGAGAGAAAAAAAGAAAAGAAGCTGGGTGCGGTGGCTCATGCCTGTAATCCCAGCACGTTGGGAGGCCGAGGTGGGTGGATCACAAAGTCAGGAGTTCAAGACCAGCCTGACCAACATGATGAAACCCTGTCTCTACTAAAAATACAAAAATCAGCTGGGTGTGGTGGCATGTGCCTGTAATCCCAGCTACTCAGGAAGCTAAAGCAGGAAAATCACTTGAACCTAGGAGGTGGAGGTTGCAGTGAGCTGAGATTGTGCCACTGCACTCCAGCCTGGACGACAGAGCAAGGCTGCATTTAAAAAAAAGAGAGAAAAGGAAGAAAAGGAAGGAAGGAAGGAAGGAAAGAAAAAAGAGGAAAGAGGAAGAAAATATATCAGGCAAATCTCTTATCGTCACTGGCTTCAATATCCCTGTCACTAAGAGGGGTAGGGGGGCTCCTCTCCTAAGAGAAACATCAGAGAACACAGATTCTTACCTCTCTGCACTCTTCTGAGAGCTGGCAGAACTTAGAATAAGCTTCAGCGATGACAGTGGCCCTGGAGAACATATGAAGGCCCTCAGGAGGGGACCCTCCTCCTCCCACCCCACCGCCATTCCACCCCACCCTTCCTCACCCCAACTTACTTGCAGTCCAGCCCTCCCCCGGGAGGTAAATCTGGGATGTCCTCTAAGGCCAGAGTCCTGAAAACTGTGTTCAGGCTTGGGAGCTCCTGAGCAGAGGCACACAGTTCTGAAAAAGAGTTAAGAGTTAGGCTGGGCACAGTGGTGCACACCTGTATCCCAGCACTTTGGGAGACCGAGGCGGGCGGATCACTTGAGGCCAGGAGTTCGAGACCCAGCCTGGACAACATAGTGAAACCCCATCTCTACTCAAAATATAAAAATTAGCTGGGTGTGGTGGTACATGCCTGTAATCCTAGCTACTTGGAGGCTGAGGCCGGAGAATTGCTTGAACCCAGGAAGACGGAGATTGCAGTGAGCCCAGATTGCCACTGCACTCCAGCCTGGGTGACAGATCGAGATTCTATCTCAAAAAAAAAAATTATGGAAGAGCCCACGAGGGCCAACCACCCCTCCAGCTGGGCCCCCGAGCCTGCTCACCAGCGATTCTACGGCCCAGGGCTTCGTCCAGTGCTAGCTCCCTCCTGATCGCCTCCTCAGAAGGCCTAGGAGCCCCCGTGAAGCAGACCAGGATGCAGGTCATGTTGTCCAGGCTGCCCTGAAGCCGGTGGAGAAAACGGAGACCGATGGGGGAGAGCCGAAGGCAGAGCTTACCAGCAATCCCCAGGTTCAAGTCCCCCACTGCAATCTGGTTATGCCCATTTGTCTCGTCTCACCCACCTGCTAGTCCTCTCCTACTGGGACCTAACTATGTCCTATCCTAGGCCCTCCTTATTGAGAGAACAGTGCCCTTTCCCTACAGCTCCGCCCGTTCTGATGTTCACCTGCTCTTCCACCTTCCAGTACTAATCATATTTCAGGCCCCGCTCCTACGACCTAGAACCGCTCCATTCCAAAAGCCCATGCCCTTTCTCTTAAACCCTTTCCACTAACTCTTGGCTGGTGCCTCAAAGCATACTTCAGGCTCCGCCCCCTGTATTTTGACCCTGCCCACTTCAGGCCACGCCCTCCGCTTGAGACCCACCCCCTCCTCTAGCTTTGCTCTTGCCTCTCCATCAAAGCCCTCCTCCCCCAAAACCCGAGGCTCTCTCCCTCTGAAGCACCAAGCCTCAAAGATACTACGCCCCACCCCCAGGACCTTGCACAGACACGTGTCCAACAACTGCGCGCAGAGAAGCTCTGGGGCCAGGCCCAGGCGGAGACGCGAAGCCACCAGTCCCGCCAGGGCAGCACCAGACATAGTGTCCCAGACGCCATCAGAGGCCAGGAGCATGAACTCGTCCTCCGCCTGGCGTACCAATGCGGCCACCTCAGGCTCCGCAGAAACGAGTTGTAGCTCGGGGGGCCTCCCCGGAGCCTGCTTGTAGGCAAAGTCGCCCAACGCTCGCGACACCGCCAAAGAGCCCTCGACGCGCCGGCGGCGGATGGTGCCACCCGCGGCGTGGATGCGCTCGCGTTCCCGAGGTCGAAGGGGCCGGTGGTCCTCGGTGCTGAAGGCCACGGCGCCGGCGCGGCTCAGCACGGCGCGGGAGTCACCGCAGTGCGCCAGGTACAGGAACCGCGGGGAGACCAGTAATGCCACGGCCGTGGAGCCGCCCGTTTCCACGCGGGGCCAGAGGGAGCGCAGGCGCTCGTCGGCGCTCAAGAAGGCTCGGCGCAGCGCCTCGCGCACGCCCTCGGGCTCGCCAGGCTCCGGGCCCAGCTCCTCGAGCACATGGCCTGGCAAGTGGCGTGCACCGAAGCGGGCAGCTCGAGCCCCACCGTGGCCGTCGAGGATGGCAAAGAAGGCCCAGCCTGGGGGCAGACCAGGTAACGAAAGCCAAGTGCAGTGAGCGTCCTCCATGTGCGCGCGCCAGCCCTGCGCTGCGCTCGCCCCAAAGCGCAGGCCCCACGACGCCGCGGCACCCCCGTGCGGCCGCTGGGCGCGCCGCGGCGCTGTCAGCAGAGACCGAGACCCATCGGGGGCCCTGCGCCCCCACTCCTTCTCCTCTTCCTCCTCCGCCTCCTCCTCCCTCTCTTTTTTCTTGCAAGTGGTCCAGAGGAGACTCTGCAGCTGACGGGCCAGGGCCGCCATCCTACAGCCCTGGGATCAGGAGGGCTCCACCCTGTACACCTGCTCCATTAATCCCCTCTGCTGTGAGATTTTAAATCACCTAAATCTCCTTCCTGTCCTTTGACCTGCACTTTAGGCGGGTTACTAGAAGGAATTTCACTTCTGGGTCTCCTCTCTCCTGTACCTACAAATTAGGGAAAAAAAAAAAGATAATACTGTACCAGTAGCAAACTGATAAGTAGCACTCATCATGTGTCACACAGTTATACATCATCATCTCCAGTTTACAGATGGAAGAAGAAACGGAGTCACAGAAGTAACCGGTGTTCCAGGGAAATTAACTCGAGAATCTGTGTTCTTTTTTTGTTTTGTTTTGTTTTTTTGAGACGGAGTTTCGTGCTTGTTAACTCCGGTTGGAGTGCAATGGCGCGATCTCGGCTCACCGCAACTCCGCCTCCTGGGTTCAGGCAATTCTCCTGCCTCAGCCTCCTGAGTAGCTGGGATTACAGGCACGCGCCACTATGCCCAGCTAATTTTTTGTATTTTTAGTAGAGACGGGGTTTCACCATGTTGACCAGGATGGTCTAGATCTTTTGACCTCGCAGTCCACCCGCCTCGGCCTCCCAAAGTGCTGGGATTACAGGCTTGAGCCACCGCGCCCGGCGAATCTGTGTTCTCTACACAACACGCAGTCCAAGCTCCTCTCACCTCAGTGGTACAGTCCCCAGCCTCAAAACCTGTAAATACTATACTTGGCCGGTCGCGTGGCTCATGCCTGTAACCCCATCACCTAGGGAGGCCGAGGCAGGCAGATCGCTTAAGCCCAGGAGTTTGAGACCAGCCTGGGAAACATAGCGAGACCCTGTGTCTATAAAAATTAAAATTTAACCGGGCGTGGTGGAACGCGCCTGTGATGCCAACTACTCGGATGGCTTAGGTGGGAGGATCACCTGAGCCCGGAAGGTCGAGGCCGTGATCACACCATTGCACTCCATCCAGCCTAGGCGACAGAGCGAGACCCTGTCTCAAAAAGCTATATATATTTGTTTTTTCTTTACTTTTTTTAGTTCGACTCTTCCTCTCTGGGGCTTCGGTTATTTTCTCTTCCGGGCTCCACCCATCCAGGATTCAAGCACACAGCTCCAGACCTGTCTAATTTTCGCAGACCTGGCATCGCCTGGAGTTCCGACCCCACCTAGTCATATTTGAATAATTCCCAGTTGCTTTAGCCCCGCATAATGTTTGAGCTCCTACGCGTGCTTCAAAAGTTTCTGAATCGTTTCTATCGGCCCCCTTTTTCGATCCCTCTGCAAATCCAGGCTCCTACCCTACCTCAGAGCATTAGAATCTTTCCACCCCCCTTCAATGGCACCCCTAGCTCCGCCCTCCCATCCTCTCTGCCAAGGCTCCTTCACCATCCTCTCCCAGGTCCCACGTCTGACTCCAGGCCTCCGCCCCTCTTCCCCTAAAGGCTGCGCCCTCTGCGGTCTAGGCCCCGCCCTTCAGGCCTCTTTCCATTTTTTCCTGATCCCATAGCCCACCCTCGTGGCTCCGCCCCTTTAGTAAGTAGGCCACTCCCCTCTGACTGCTCCTCGTCGTTTCCCCGCCCCTCGCCCGCCCTCTTTCCCCGCCCCTTCCCTCCTCTGGCCACGCCCCCGGCCGCTCGCTGCAGTGCTTTCCCCACCGCGGCCCCGCCCGCCCCCGCCGAGCCGAGCACAGGGCGGCGGCGGCGGCGGCGGCGGCGGCGGCTGGAGCAGCCCGGGAGGAGGAGGCGGCGAGGATGGCAGCGGCGTCGTGGGCGCGGCGGAGATGAGCGCCTGCGACCCCGGGCCCAGGGCGGCGCAGCCGGAGTGGGCGGGGGTCCCGATGCAGGCCCGAGGGGGGCCATGGGGCAGGTCCTGCCGGTCTTCGCCCACTGCAGTGAGTAGAGGGAGGCTCGGGCCTGGTGTGGGCCCCAGAGGTCCGGGTGGGGTACTCCCTGGTGTCCCCTCGGCGCTTGCCCGCGGGAGAGCCGGGATTGGGGGGAGGAGGCAAAGGAGACAAAGGAAGCTCTCCCCTTCCCCCCCGCTTTGGCGGTGACGGGGACAGCCTGACCCGGAGGACCTGGACGAAACAGGGCGGAGGTGGGGGGGCACTGAGAGGGCAGGCGGGGGGCGCGTTGCGCTCTGGGATATACCGCCCGGCCCCGCCCGGGAACGAGGACGTGCGTGGGGAGCTGTCCCCTGGCTCTGGTGCTGGCCGCAGCTGGCGGGGAGGGATTGAACGGAGGGTAAAGCCAGGATGGAAAACAGGGGTCTGACTCCCCATCGCTCGTCTTCTCATCCCATCCCCATTTTCTGCCCAAGAGGCAGCCCCGACCTTGCCCAAACTGTCCAACCCCCTGTCCCGGGAAAATAGCCATCGGTGGGCTGGGGGCAAGGACTGATGGGTCCTTAGCGGGATTTACCACTTATTAATGGTAATCCTGGGAAAGACTGGCACCACTCCAGGCCTCCCATTCCCCAGCTGAGGAAACGAGGTGAGAGCACAGGGCGTCAGATTTCAATTTCCAAACCGCATTGAGCATCATCTATGTGCGAAGCGCTGAACTAGCTCTAAGTGGGGTGGCCTGATCCTCACAATCTCTGAGCTCACAGTTCTAACAGTTCATGTCTACCGTTCTCTGTCCCACACATGGGGGTTCTGACAACTGGGGATTTCAACACCCTTAGATCTAGCCACTTCCATGTCTTGGGTGTCCAGATGCTAAAATTCTAAGAATTGGTGATTTCAGCATTTTCGAATATCATCTCAACATGCTAAGATCTTGTCCTTATTTCGGCTTACAAAGCGAGGACTATCTCATCTGTCTCTCTCCACCCCTCTTACCTCTCTGCCCTCACCTCCCACCCCTCTCCTCCTCATTCACTCCTCTCCAATCACATCTTCACACCTCTCTGTTCCTCAAAGATGCCAAGCATGATGCCTGATTCAGGGCCTTTGCATTGGCTTCCTTCTCTACCTGGAAGACTTCCCTGAACATCTGCAGGGCTTCCTCACTTCTTTCAGATCTCTGCCCAAACGTCGTCTTAGCAGAGAAGCCTTCCTGATCACCCTATGAGAGACACACAGCTTCACCTTCTTCACTTTATCTTCCCCTACCTTTCTTTACTTGGCACCGTAGGCTCATCTGCACCTAACATCATATATTCACTTGTTTATTGTTTGTCTCTCCCAAAGAGTGTCAGCTCTAGGAGGGCAGGGATTTTGTCTGTTTTGTTCACAGCTGTATATCCAGGACCTAGAACAGTGCCTGGCACATAGTGGTGCTCAATAAATGGTTGTTGAACGAATGAGTGAATTGAAACCTCCTAAGACTTTGAAGACTCTAAGATTCCCGGATTTGGACTTCTAAGACTCTAAGTTTCATCAGGCAGTGATGCTAGGTTTTACAGTCTGTGTGCAGAATTTTCTAAAAGTCCCGTGATTCAAATATTCTAAGATTCCAGGACTGGCACACTTCTGTGATTCGGACAGTCTAAGCTTCTAAGAGTCTTCGATTCTTTCCCTCTCGCAGAAGAAGCTCCGTCTACAGCCTCATCAACCCCTGATTCCACAGAAGGTAAGTGGAGGAGAGCTTGTGAAGGGGTTCAGGGGTGGGCAGCTCAGGGGTCTGCTGAGAGAAACAAGGTTCTCCCTCACCTGCTGCAGGAGGGAACGACGACTCCGATTTTCGGGAGCTGCACACAGCCCGGGAATTCTCAGAGGATGACGAGGAGGAGACTACGTCGCAGGACTGGGGCACCCCCCGGGAGCTGACCTTCTCCTACATCGCCTTTGAAGGCGTAGTGGGTTCTGGAGGTCGCAGGGATTCAACTGCCCGCCGCCCCCGACCCCAGGGCCGCTCAGTCTCGGAACCACGAGACCAGCACCCTCAGCCCAGCCTGGGCGACAGCTTGGAGAGCATCCCCAGCCTGAGCCAATCCCCGGAGCCTGGACGCCGGGGTGACCCTGACACTGCCCCTCCATCCGAGCGCCCTCTGGAAGACCTGAGGCTTCGGTTGGACCAGCTGGGCTGGGTGGCAGCCCGGGGAGTGGGATCCGGGGAGGACTCTTCCACCAGCAGCTCTACTCCGCTGGAAGACGAAGAACCTGAAGAACCTGATGGATTGGAGGCGGGAGAAGCTGGGGAAGGTGAGATGTCGGAGGTGCTGGGACTGAAGTCAAGAGGGGTGGGTGGTTTCTTCTCAGGGCACCTCCAAGAAGAAAGTTCACAGCCTTCTCTTTCTACCGTGCCAGATCTGGACCTACGACTCCAACTTGCTCAGCCCTCGCCGCCAGAGGTCTTGATTCCCCAGCTCAGTCCGGGCTCTGGGACACCCCAGGCAGGAACTCCATCTCCATCCCGATCGCGAGATTCGAACTCTGGGCCTGAAGAGCCCTTGCTGGAAGAGGAAGAAAAGCAGCGAGGGCCACTGGAACGAGAGCCAATAAAGGGACAGTGTCTCGATAGCACGGACCAATCAGAATTCACGGTGGAGCCACGCCTTCTAGGTAAGCAACATGTATGAAGATGCTGCATTGGACCCCAGGAGGCAAAGAGTGAGAGGATTTTGAATTAAAGGGGCAAATCCCTCAAGGAACAGCAAATAGTGGAGAAGGGAGGAGGTATTGCTATTGGCTAGATGTGATAAACTCTGCCCTTTTAAAAAATTTCCCCGGACAGGCAAGTTGGCTCACACCTGTAATCCCAGCATTTTAGAAGCCCGAGGTGGGCGGATCACTTGAGGTGAGGAGTTTGAGATCAGCCTGGCCAACATGGTGAAATCCCGTCTACTCGGGAGGCCGAGGCAGGAGAATCGCTTGAATCAGGAAGGCGGAGGTTGCAGTGAGCAGAGATCGCGCCACTGCACTCCAGCCTGGGTGACAAGAGTGAGACACCGTTTCAAAAAATAAAAATAAAATAATTCTCCCTCTTCTGGAGTGCTCCTCCTAGTGGCTGATTTTGGACAGGCCAAATCCCTGAAGAAATAACACTTCTCTCCTTATTTAGATGTGACCGCAGAATATTTATAACTAAACTGTGTGCTTTTAAAAAACTATTCTTTTTGGCCGGGCACAGTGGCTCATGCCTGTAATCCTAATACTTTGGGAAGCCGAGGTGGGAGGATCCCTTGAAACCAGGAGTGCAAGACCAGTCTGGGCAACACAGAGAGACTCCACCCCTATTTGAAAAAACAAACAGCCGGATGGGGTGGCTCATGCCTGTAATCCCAGCACTTTGGGAGGCCGAGGCGGGTGGATCACCTGAGGTCAGGAGTTCGAGACCAGCCTGACCAACATGGAGAAACCCCCTCTCCACTAAAAATACAAAATTAGCCAGGTGTGGTGGCACATGTCTGTAATCTCAGCTACTCGGGAGTCTGAGGCAGGAGAATGGCATGAACCCGGGAGGCGGAGGTTGCGTGAGCCAAGATCACGCCACTGCACTCCAGCCTGGGCAACAAGAGCGAAACTCCGAAACTCCGTCTCAAAAACAAACAGAAACCCTCTTCTGACCACATCTATTAGCCAGTTGTAAAATGACCCAGCCTTACTATAAAATATGCTCCGCCTCCAGGAACAGCTAGGGAGTGGGTAAAGACACCACTGCTTTTGGCTGTTTACAACACGGTTCCATTTTTGGAATTGTCCCCACCTCTATGGACAACCATTGGCTGAGTCCAAAGGGGCCCCGCCTCCCTACTCCTGTCCTCCGGGTTCTACTGAAGTGGGCAAAATCCCTGAGAAGCAGCGGTGTCCCCAGCCTCTCACTCGGAGCCGAGATGGGGAGTAAAGGTGGGCTTGCGGGACGGGCTGGACGGGGACTGAGGTCGGCGGAACGCTGTCCAGACTCACCCTTAGCCCCCGCACATCTGGGGCATGTTTATTATCGGTCTGATTCCCCAGTGCTGCAGGCAGGGGCTAGCGGGCCGAGGGGCAGTCTAAGGAGGACCTGGAGGAAGCCTGGGGTCCCTTCTCCTCCGCGCCAGCACTTTGGGGCCCAGGAGCAGGGAGGTCCCCCTCCCCCAGCCTCGGGCCCAGGCAGTGCTGTCACTCAGCGGCCAGACGGGCCAGAACAGCTGCTGCGGGGAGGCCCCCTCCCCCCAGCGTGCCTAAACTTAGCCCCCGCCTCAGGCGACCTGGTCCCTCCCCCACTCACTTGGGCCGGCCACTAGGAGCCTGCCTGGGGGTCCCCTGCTTTGGGAGGAAGGGGGGCTGCCCTATTTAGAGGTAAATGAGAGGAGATGCATTGGAAGGATATGGAAGTGAGGGATGCGCTTCTAACAGGGACCGTCGAGAGGTCAGCTGGATTGGAGGGAGGGTGGGAGGATGGAGGGGATCTGCAAAGAAATAGAAAGGTACCAAGCTCCGGCTTTTTAGGGCTCAACGGAACGCAGACTTCTAAAGTTCCTTTTATTTTTAAGTGACGAAGTCTCCCTCTGTTGCCCAAGCTGTAGTGCCCAAGCTGTAGGCGGGATCTTAGCTCATTGCAACCTGGAACTCCTGGGCTCAAGTGACTCTCCCGCCTCGGCCTCCCAAGTAATTGGGACTACTACAGGTGCAGA